TGGGTATGTCCCAATCCTCATAAATACGTTGAACACGATTGTAAGTGGCGGTCTAAGTAGTCCACCACTAGCAATGCTTTACTTCACGCTGCTGGCGAGTATTGTATTTTGTTGATGTTATAAAGATTACCATTTTCATTTTGATTATTTCTCATTCAGTAACCCTTTCTAAATTACAACACTGTATCACACTTTTTCAGTTAAAGGAACACAACTCTCTAACTTTCAATAGCTCATGTTACAGAAATTTTGGATTCACAAATTTTAATGACTGTTCGGTGATTTTGTATGTGTTTTTACGTGACGATTTTTTTGTACAATAACAATTTTTATAACTTGGAAATAAATTTGGGAATAATCGAAATTAATTGCGAAATCCAGTGATAGTCACCCATGAAATAAAAATAATTGTTTGTACAGAAAGTAAGGACCTACATACATCAAATTGTCTTAAAACTAACTGGCGGAAGATGAATTATCGTTGAACTTTTAAAAGGTAAGCCTAAATATTGATACAATATTTAAATGCAGCGATTAATTTTGAGTTCTTCTGTAGTTTATTTTTCTCCATCGCATACGACAGCAGCATGCTTCGCAAAAAGAAATCCTAATTTATTTAATCCCGTGTGGAGGTTTCTCTGAACATTGTAATCTTAATCTCGTCAATTCAAGTGTCATCTGTTACGTATACTTTTTATTCTCATAAAATTCACTTCCTACTCTTCATTTATATAACACACTTCATTTATATTAAGTATTCTAATAGTTTTTTGAACTTTGTGTTGGGTGAATTTATTTAAGTATAATTTTGAAAATCCAGAATATAAACCTATATATATTTTTTCACCAAGATCCTGATTTGTTATTGGTTATTTTCAACTTTCATGCTTTGAAATTCTCTAATGCGCAAAATACTTTCTCCTATTATTGTTAGGCTTCGAACTTAGAATCATCTACGTCTGTAATTTGTCATTGTTTATGAATAGGTTTTTATCCACGCGCCCACGTCGCAACAAAATGTGACACAAGTTTGGAGTTTAATGTAGGATTTCCGGAAAGAAAAAATATTTTTTAAAAATTGCTCAAGCCTCTTCGGCACTTCCTCTTTTGGGAACGTCTCAGGCGCCGGATAATAATCCACCCCCTCCCGTAGGAGAGGTACTGCCTGGTGTTGAGGTATTCATTTCAAATTACCCCAGCTCGTGGAGTATTTACTTTCTTTTCTACAAACTTTCTGTATAAGTATTACATACATTCTTTATTTCCTTCAACCTCTCGTTTTACATTCTCTCTCTCTCTCTCTCTCTCTCTCTCTCTCATAATTTTGGTTCTTTATTTCCTACTCTCTTTCTGATATTCCTTTTTTCTTTTTCTCTTTCTTTTTTCGAATCTTTTTTCTTCCTTTCTCGTGTCCACTCTCCATTTTATTTGTTTCTCTCTCTCTTTTCTTTCTCACTTATTCTTTCTTCCTTTTACCTCTCTTTCTTTTTACTTTTCACTCTTCTCTTGCGTTTTTCTCTTTCTTTCTTTTTCACTGCGTCTCTAACACTTTCGGCCTTCAACCTCCGGCGTCTTTCAGGGTTGAGGTGTCTACTCGGTCCTAATTGAACTTAAGGGAGTGGCCATAGGTCCCCTGAGCATCCGTAGATTATTCGACCGGTCCGCTGGTTTAATCCTGCTTCCTGCCCACGTTGTGATTTGTTTGATCCAGAAAGCAGAAGTGATGTCCGTCCATTTACAGTCGACTGAAGATGTAGATACGGCTGGGGAGTCTGCGATAAGAAATTTAGAATGCAGCAAAAAAAAAAATTAACATCTGCAGAAAGTCGGACAAGCATCGATTCAATGGTTGAATTGGAAATGTCTTTTATATAGCAGAAAAGAATAGTAGAGAAGAGAAACGGGTTACAGAAAAGAAAAGTAAAAAAAAAAAAACAAACAAACTCATACACTGGGTTCTAGACACACAGAGAGTGTATGTGATTATCTTGTTAAATCGTCTCAGAACGATATATGACTCTTTCGATGGAGAGATAAAGATTTCTGTGCGGGGCTTAAAGTTATAGTGGCGTTCCTCCTCCCAATGCTCGCCCGGGTCAATTCTCTCTTCTCTCTTCAAGAATTTTCTCCCGTCTGACTTTTTTAAGCATAACTACGCGTTTATATAGATAAACCCGGCTGATTACAACTGACCCTCGGTCCTACTACTTCACACGCGATGATCCGGTTCCGGCTGCTTCAACCAAAATCATGTGAATTCCAAAATTCCTTCTAGCTTATTCAGCTCTATTTCAGTTTTTAATCGATAAAAATGATTTCGACCATTGTCTACTGATGACTCAGATTCAATGGGTACAACTTCTGCCCTAGATCAGATTTTCCCATCAGTAAAAAAAATGCTCTGATTTAATTTCGCTATTTAAATCTACTCCAATTTCACTAAAAAAATATATACGTGTGTGTGTTTCCCAGACTCTCTCTCTCTCTCTCTCTCTCTCTCTCTCTCTCTCTCTCTCTGTCACAGTCTCATTCTTCTTTGACACACTCTCTTTTGTGTTCTCATGTCTTTCTTATTCACTTTCCCTTCATAGTCATTTCTTCTTCTCCTTATGACGTTTTTCCTTCACACACTCTCTTTCCGCAATCTTTTCTTGCCTTTTCCCCGTCAGTATGCATCTATCTATCTATCTATCCATGGGCTCTATATTTACAAATTTTATGTAGGAAGTACCAAGAATTCTTTTAAAACTAGATGATACTAACATATCTTATCTTTCGCCAATAGCACTAATAAAAATAGAACATATCTTTCCAAATATTTTTGGAATTTAAAAGAAGTTAATGATACTCCTACAGTTAAATGGAAAGTTTTTAAAAAGCTAGAACTTGTAAATCCTTAAATGAACCAAAGAAGTGAATTAATTGTAAATTGTAGGCATAGTTTACCTTTCACCTTACAATATGTTTAAAATTTAATTTGGTAGTACCTTTTCATATGATCTTAATTAGTAAGTAATTTGCGGTGCACACTTTATGTATCTTTGAATTTGATATAGCAATGTATTGCTGTTTAGCCGGCATTATCAACATCTTATATGAATGTTACCCTTCTTTTCTTTTTTTTTTTTTTTTTTTTTTTTTTTCTTTTTGATTTTTAACACTTTAATTGCATTTCACCGGTTTTGTTAAAGAAGCCCTTTCAATATGCTACAATCAAATATATGAGTCATTATTTCCCTCCCCTTCCCCTTAGCTTCCTTTAAAAATTGTAATAGTTATATTTGTTTAATAACTAGGGTACAAGTTTGCTATTTGCTTACAGTTTGTATCAGTTACCTGTTTGCCACTTATGACCTTGTCTAGGTTTATGTTTTAAACTATATTTTACCATGATCAGTTTTTTATAGGTTAATTTTGAATGTGCGTAGGTTTGACACCTAACTGATTAATCAGGGTGAACCCACAAGCCTTATTTTAATTTTGATTAGTTCTTGTTTTTCTGCTCTCTTTAGGAATTCTGTTTTTGAAATTTAAAAATAATATTTTACTCACCAGTCATTTACATGAGGAAGTACAATTCTAGTACTGAAACATGAAAGCTATTGTGTAGCGATTTTAATATGTTTTTGTTTTAATCATATAATGAATAATATTAAGTTCTACTAAGCTTTTACTTTTTTAAAATTATGCTACAGATAATGGAATTATACTCCATTTATTTTTATCCCATATATATATATATATATATATATATATATATATATATATATATATATATATATAAACGCTAATCTTCAGAAGTAAAAAAATTAATTTTCAGGTGAACATAGCAATTTTGTCTTAGCAAAAACAGGACCCTGTAATGTTGAAAGTACTCAGGAATAAAATGTATATACGTCAACATGGTAATTTTCTTTCTTCCTTTAATAAGGATACTAAGACATTCGGCCGTAAATAGGAGAGGATCCCATTAAGAATAAGTAGACAAAACTTGTTTAAATTATTTAATGAGACATATCTTAATGAAAACATGCTGCCAATACATACATATATATATATATACTCTTCTTTTTCACTCTTTCTCATTAATACTCTCTATATCTCTTCCCCTTTCACTTAATCTCTTTGTCTCCAATTTCATTTCTCCTATTCATATTTTATTTCCCATTTGCTTGTTTTTCTTTTCTCCCTCTGCTTCATGGCATTGTATTTGTGTGCGGGGGTGGGGGCACCAGTTAATTTTAAGGTAATTAATTTTCAACAGAGAGGCTTAAGCGGGAAAGGAAAAATTATTATTCCATTTTATTCTTATTGCTGTAAGGTGTGAACTAAAAGAATTATTCCGTTTCCAGGGCCACTAAAACGCAAGAATATATGAACGGACCAATCAAAAGGAAAGATCCAACTGACGCCAACAGGTCGAGTTAAGTACAGCCCCACCCTCCTAACCGTAAATAAATAAACGGGTAAACAAATTGATCATCCATTTTTGTCATTAGATCCTCCACCTCACCAACCAAGCAGTACAAATATTGGAAGGAAGCAATGCGAAACTGCAGATGGAAAGTTCACTGTGTAGGAAAATGTGGAGAAAAAAATGGTTTCTTTCCATTCAGCAAACAATGTGATAATATTTAAAAAGTAAAATAAAGAGCTCAAAAAGTTGCCAGATGCGTATTTACACACGATCGGGGAATTATAAATTATTGAAATTTTAGTTGACAATTATTTAGAAATTGTAAGAGTTTATCCAACTGGCAATGCGAAGGCAGGACCTGTGAAATTCTCTGGCTAAAAAATGCGTATATATTGAAGGCGTTAAGCGGGCTGTTAAATGCGGCTGCTCTGCTCCGTGTGTGTGTACATGCGCGTATGCACGTGTATGCGCGTGTGTGTTTAGAAAGCAGCATAGTATTGTGAGGAGGGGCGTTATTAAATTAAAACATGTTTCTTTGTGTGGGAAACTATTGGGTGCGTTCATGCTGTCGCTATGAGGGAAATTATTGGTCTGTTAGGTAGGATAAGAGTAGATAGATAGATAGATAGATAGATAGATAGATAGATAGATAGATAGATAGATAGATTTGACCAAGGCAAAAAGCAGACATGAAGAGGTGTTCAGTAATGTACTAAAATCTCAGAAATATGCAGGTTTTTTGTTTTTTTTGGTGGGGGGTGATAACTCTTTCCTTGTCTGGAAATAATTTCCTCCCGTCATTTTCAGGTTTTTCTGCTTGTGTTAATTTCACACTGACCATCTGTAACACCTTGAGATTCCTCAGCTGTATCCCCTTTGATAGTCTTTTAATCTTCTCAAATGTCCTGATTTAGAAGACAAAAGAAAAACGTTCATCTTGCAACTGATAACAGCTTTTAGGTCCGCACAATTTTTTCTTGAGTCTGATTGAAATTCTGCAGACACAAACTGGTGAACGAGCCTCATTTTCGATTTTAGGTGCCTCCTCTCTTAGAAGTGAATTAAGCTGATTTTTTCTCCCTTCACCAAATTTTGTGAACTAATGAAAAAAATGATCATACCTTACAAAATAATTCTTGTGTCATGGCTTTGAAACTAAATAATGATAGTTTTTCTTGTTTGCAGCGTTGATCTTCAAAACACTTCTTGCCTAACATCATTATATTCCTTACTTGATGTTCTATTCTTTTTTCTACTAATTTTCAACTAAAACAAAGCACGCGAGCCACTCAATTTAGGGGATTAAAATCGAAATGCTAATAATGAATGAGTTTTATGATAGAGATGAAACATGTGGTAGTAGGAAGTGGAGATTGTCAAGATAAAGTAGATAAATTGACCCTTGACTTAAAAAGGTCAAGATTATAGTGTTCAGGAAAATACCTACGCGGAAGTCTGTCCACAAAATGTTCGTTCTTGGAAAAAAACTGTGGAACTTCCTCCTTACATTTGGAACAATGAGAAAAATGAGGCTGGTTCAACGTGGAAGTAAGCGTGTCGTGTAAAAGTCTAAAAATTGGAACCCGTCTGAACATTTGCCATAGAAATAGCGATAGAGTAGCGATTGGCTACATTACGTCCGTGAGAAGAAGGCTGAAGAGTGGAAAATAAGTATTGCCCAACAAAATCGTGTAAACGATTCTGAATTGTCTTAAGACTGGAAAATGAGCTGTGAGCAGCACCAGCCCGGATATAGTAGCAATTGGAGTCTAATCTGATTCTTGTAAAGTTAAAGCATGGCAATACGAATCAGACGCTTCCTGGAGCGTTGGAATGAGCCGGCCATTTTCCCAGCATCTTCAGCAATGGATTGTATATATGAGTCCCACTTGAGATGTGGTGCGAAATTGAGATCCAACAGACTTTCAAAGCGTTAAATTTTTCTTTGCGAATGAAATCATTAACTATGATTGGATAAAACTGATTACGGTCGCTAATTCTTACGGTTTTCATAGTATTGAGTAGATGGAATTAAGTTTCTTAATATAATTTTACTTGTCTTTTCCTTCCTTAATTAGCACGTACGTTACGCAAATAATGAAAGATAGAAAAGAGATATCGGAGACGTTGTTTGGTTTCAGTGAAACAAACAAAAAAAAACAAACAAACAAACAAACTCCTTGCCAAACTTCATAAATAATTAACTATTCCGTTTTGAGGAAAGGTCGGGGCTGCTACTTTGTTTTAATAAGAAAAAGAAAGGGGGAGGGAGAGAGAGAGGGGGGGATATGTCGTTGTTGCGTGTTTAACGCCTACTTTAAAAAAAAACTTGCCAGTTTTAAATTGTTTCATTTTTACCCTGTTACTACTGGAAATATGACCTACTCAAACGGCGTCGGGGGAGGTTCTGCGGGTATTTTGTAGTCGTGGGATTCATTAGATATTCATTAGATATAACAGATAATTTAAATAGAAAAACCGTGAAATTTTCGCGACTGACGCTAGTTATATTATAATTCTGCTTGTCCTTCAGTTAGCACAACCGTTACGCCTTGTCAACACTTCATAAATAATGGATTATTCCGTTTTGATTACGTGGAAAAACCAAACAGACATATTAGATGCGCTGTGTTCGTTTTAATGACAAAAAGAAAGAAAAAAGTAAGAGGCGATAACTACTTACTACTTTAAATAATGACCTGCATTCATATTTATGATTACAATTGCAATATTTTGTTCAACCTTTTGAGCTCAAATATGCAATGGACTATGTTATAATCGTGAAACTTGCAAAAGTCTGCTTTCGTCATTAACTTAATTTCAACAGAAATTTCAAATAGAAAAATCGTGAAATTATCAGGGATATTTCAAGCTGCCATTATCCTAACAACTATTCGGACTAATACTTTGATATTTATTATTTCAATTATTAACTTTCCATCGGTAAACTCTTCGGCCTTTCTCAAGTTTGTACTTGCGGACAGTAATCTTTAAATTGTATCAAACCTAGTTCCATGTTTATTTTCTAAGTTAACTTTCTTTTCAAACTTCAGCTAGAACGATTACCAAATTAGAAACAGTTTGATATATTAGTTAAATATATTCACATTAAATTCGTTTATAATTCACACCAAGCTTGCGTACTGACCCACTCTATTAAATTGATTGGAACTTCATTGGAACGCTCAACCAACTGAACCAATTGACAGCAAGTCTGAGCTCGAATTTCGAAGAAAGCGCCTCCAGACAAAGAATTTTAACAAGCGGGCACAATTCAAAGAGAATTGAAGTGAACTCTAACTAGAATCAAAAGCCTCTTTGATGCACAATGATATAAAGGAACACTGAAAAGGCGATGATTTCCTGTGGCGGTATAAAAGAAATCTTTACAAGTTCTGTGTTCGTTTTATCATTTGTTAAGTCGTGTAAATTCTCGCTAATCTATGCAGTTTGATAAACGCACCAATATCTTATTGCTCTTGAAATAACGATAGTGTTAATGAACATACGATAGCATAGAAAGATAAAAATAGAGTCTTTAATATTTCTATTCTTAAATATGGAAATTGTTGCTTTTTATCGCTGTAAGAGTTTCGGCGTGGAATTGTTGAGAAATTATGCTTACAAAATACGAAACAAAGATTTATTCTCTTTTTGTTCATATCAATTGAGTTTCCAGTATTATTTGCTAGCAGCTACTTCGAATTAACAAACAAAAGATAGAAATTGATGCTCATTTTACATCATTGGCACGAAGGAAAATCAATGAAAATCAAAGAAAATCAGCAATTTTTTAAAAGAATTATTTTTCTTTCTATCAATATATTTTCTATATCAATTTTTTATTTCAATGTCGATTTAAATTTAATTTTCATGTTATTTATTCCATAATTTATTTGAAATTATTTTGAAATTATTTGATTTAATTATTCAAATTTTAAATTTTTAGTTTACACTATTTTAGATTTATTTTAATGTATCATTTAATTAACTTAATCTAATCTTAATGATGAGATTAGGTAATTTAGCGTTAATTGAAATATATTTCAATTCATTCCTTAATTTTAGTGTTTTCAGCGTAGAGACTGAAATGAGTCACCGAATCACCCAAAAATGTCACTTTATATTCAATGAAACGTTATTATATACAAAATAGGATATTAGACAAAATTTCAGTGACTGAAAACGTAAACTTACATATACATATATACACGATGAGTGCGGCATCTTAATAGATGAGTACACACACACACACACACACACGTGCCGTAGACACCATGATTTACATTTTCAGACGAATCTTAAATATTTAGATTTTAGATGCAACATATTCATGGAGCAAAAACCTGCCTGGAAAAGTCCATTAGCTTCTGTAAGTCTGACCCGGTGGCTGTGGCTTGGCAGTTGCTACCACAGATTACTTCCAGCGTTTGGCGCTAATGTAATGCAACAAAACGTAAAGCACGTGACATTAACTCTGATCCATTTACATGTGTAATTTTACCATGGGAGCGCCAGCCTGCACAAATATCTAAAATGGCACGCTGGAGAAGAAAAGGTTAAGAACCAGTGGCCTATAAAAAGAGCCTACACGAAGAAGAGTACCACAAGAATATGTAAAATTTTAAATTCCAATGATTTCTATCTCATTTGTGTCTATATATGCTCTATCGCTAATAGTGAGCATTCTTCCCCCATGAAAAAGTAAATTTAAAACTACATATGTACATATATTGTTTAATATATATATATGTGTGTGTGTGTGTGTGTGTGTGTGTGTGTGTGTGTGTGTGTGTGTGTGTGTGTGTGTGTGTACACAGGGTGATTAAGTGGCCAGCCAGGAGTCCTGACTTAACACCCTGTGACTTTTTTCTTTGGGGTTGATTAAAGGAGCAAATCTAACGAAAACTTTTGAAGAACTTGAATGGCAAATACATGAAGTTGTCTTCAGGAGTTCCGAGTGAAGTTGTCTTCAGGAGTTCCGAGTGAAGTTGTCTTCAGGAGTTCCGAGTGAAGTTGTCTTCAGGAGTTCCGAGTGAAGTTGTCTTCAGGAGTTCCGAGTGAAGTTGTCTTCAGGAGTTCCGAGTGAAGTTGACGCCAATCCTGGGCGGCTCGGGAAGCTGGTAATGAAAACTGGTGCCCTTATTGAATTTTAAATAAAACCTCATGCTAAACGCTTTCCTCTTATATCCATTTCTTATAAAAATGATATTTATTAAGTAAACTATAAGTATTTTAAAATAGGGAATTACTTTTCAATCACCTTTGTATATCTTTGAAAATGACTAATACTAGCCGAAAGATAGAGGAAAATATATTTTCAAATATAAACCTGAAATCAAAAAGTATTCAGAAACAGGGAGAAAAATAAAATATGGGGCTACAGTGCTCAACAACACGTGATTTTACGTGATTTAGTTGATAGCCCATTTTGCCCAACCGGTTTTGAATTTAGAGTTGCATTTCTCCTAACTTTGATGCTAACCAAGACTAAACATTTCAGTCTACCCTACTATTTAATGCATAGCTGATGATGAGATAGTTGAGTGAATGTAACAAATTTAATCGAATTGGAACTCGTTTCTCTATTTTCTCAATCCATGCCTCTATCCATTACATGCACATCCCCAAGCTTAAAGCACATGCACATCCCCAAGCTTAAAGCACATGCACATCCCCAAACAGTCTAAAATACTAGCCAGGCTCGACATTGTTTAACGATCAAGCAAGAACCGGTGTTTCTACGTGATATAACCATTTGCCTAATTTCGGAAATGTCATTAACTCTACATTGTTGAATAAGATGTCAACTCCTGTAGAAACTAAAGTGGCTCTTTAGCCCATCTGAGGATTTACCTGGCTTGAAGCAGATGCAGCATATGAAAGGTCATTTTGGGAGGATTTATTGGATCAATTTGAATAATGTCATCCTAATGAACTTCATGTGTCTTTTCAGACCTGGACTAGACTTATAAATATTAATATTGCCACACATCACACACACATTTTCAGGTGGTTTTGGAGTAAGGCTACCACGATTATGTGTAAGATCATTGCCATGAGATTTAAGATTGTTAGAATAACCTGTTTCAGGACACGATGGTAAACATTACACGTCCACGAATAAAATTCAGGTAGAAAGTCAGATATGACTGCCTTTCTAAGACCATACTTCAACTTTACATTCTTAATGCGGCTAGATTCAAGGCGCATAATGCAATATTTGATGAATTTTCTCCATTCATCTCTGTCTAATGAGAGAAGTCGCACGTATCCATATTAAAAGCAATAATGTTTTCCTTGGCATAAAATCTGTATATTTGTATTGCTGGCGTTTGTCAACTTTGAGGGCACCATAAACTGTAAATTTCTCAGAATTAATCTGCAGAAAAAGATAATATGTATTACGAAAAAAGACAATATGAAAACTGTACGTAGTTTTAGCCGACGCGTTTCGTCTAATGTGGACTTTTTCAAGGTAAAAAACGAAATAAATTTATTGAAACAAAGTTTTATTATAGGCCTCTATCAATCAGGGTTGACCATAGGTAGCATCCTAGTTGTCTGCTTGGCTGGGGCACGGACGTCTATGACTGTAGAGGCCGATGCGAGAGTGACAATCTCTGTTGCAGAGGTCGCATGCGTTTTCTGTCTCTGGTCAGTTGGAGCTGTCACTTTGCTTTCTGCGGGCCCGCCTTTCCGTGGCGACTTGTGTCAGCTTCTCCTCCCCTGACTTGAGGTGTTTGGTCAGGGTTCCTCTCCATTTGGATCGTATGGCTGCCAGGCTCTCCCAGGACTCTGTGTTGCTGCCCACAGCTTTCATGTCGCGTCTCACTACATCGCAGTACCGCAGCTGTGGCCAACTCTCCATACAAGAGGTCTTTGGGGGTGCGGCCGTCTGGCATGCGATGGATGTCGCCCAACCAACGGAGTCTGCGCTGTCTGAGCAATGTGAACATACTGGGAAACAGATTGTCAAGAGGTTTGCGGTCGTCACAACATTCTGCCTGGAGTAGAGGTCCGAATAGCGTTCCGCCCATCTCTCCATCTGTTGCTCCTGGTCTTCGATGACTTCCCCAGTGGTGTATTTGAGATGAGCTGTCTTGTTCTGTGCTGGTCCTCTTGCCGTCTTGATGCCATCGTACATCCCTCTTATGTTCCCTGTAATTGCTACTGTTTCGATGGTTTCGCTAAGCTCTGTCCAGTACTCGTTGGTGCAGCGTCTGGCAGTTTGATGAGCATTGCTTCTGGCAGCCCAGAGGATCTGCAGGTTTCTCTTGCTGGGTGACTGCTTGTATTCTGCAAGAGCGGCGCGCTTCGCCACAATGACAGTAGCCATCTCAGCGGACTTTGCCTCAAACCAGTCATATGACTTTGAGGTCTTTCTCCCAAAGGTGGCTAAGGTAGTGCGGTGCATGGTGTCCCGCAAGGTCGCCCACTTCTCCGTGGCAGAGTCTCCGGTCCGCGAGGTTGCCTGCTCGTTCTCAAACCTCTTGACAAACTGTTGCACAAAGTTTAATTGGCTCATCTTGCTGACATCAATGCGAGGATTCGCCTGCTTCTTGCCACGGTGGAACCTCTTGGGCTGGAGCTGTAGTAAGAACGTGTGTGAAGGTCGTTCTTAATGGCGGCTCCTTTTACCAGTATGAGATCCAGCTGGTGCCAGTGCTTTGAGCGTGGATGTCTCTACGAGACCTTGTGATGGGGTTTGGTCCTGAAGTAGCTGTTGGCTATGAACAAATTGTGGTAAGTGCATAGCTCGAGCAGTGTCTGACCATTGTCGTTCATCTTGCAGACGCCAAACTGTCCAAGGCATGAAGGCCAAGAGGTATGATCAGCACTAACTCTGGTGTTGAAGTCGCCTAGGATAACAAGTTGCTTATTTCTGTGGATACTGCTGATGGTGGCTGCCAGCTTGTCATAAAACTCGTTCTTGGTGTCCGATGTGGCAGAAGAGGGTGTCAGGGGCCTGCGGTGGCGTTGAGGCGGAGAGTAAGGAGTCGTTGCTGCCTGGTTCAGCAGGCTGTTCCTCACTGCGAAGCCCACTCCGTGTTGGTGTGGTTCGTCGGAGCTCTTCCCCTTCCAGAAGAATGTGTAGTTCTTCTTCTTCAGTGATCCAGGGTCAGTCAGACGTGTTTCCCGTAGAGTTGCTATGTCCACATGAAGCCTTTCGAGCTCGCCGTTGTTGACGGCAGTTTTCCTGGAGTTGCTGATGTCCTGTGGGGTCTTCTGAGAGGCCGGTCAGCATAGCCCGGACGTTCCAACAGCCCAGTTTTAGAGCTGATTTCTTTTGTAAATTCTTGTTATTGCACGGTGCGAAGGTTTCAGTCTGCTTGTCGGATGTCTCCTAATCTCTATGCACCCAATGAAGAAAGAAGACTGCGGCGAGACAACACCTTACTGGCTCCAGAAAGAAATATTTACGCATGATCACTTGAGGCGGGCGGTAGCTGTGCACTGAGATCCGAAAATCTCTCCCACCGACGAGAACGACCCCAATCGATTGGTAGCTTATAACCAGTAACTGCCGTTCTCCGTGTTGCGTCGACGCCAAAGGCGAAGCTGGAGTCCTCTCCAGGGGTAGTGCAGAGTGTTTTGGTGCGGTGTGGTGCGGTCGGATGCAAGTGTGGGCGATGTGATATGAAGGACAGGCTGTTTCCCATGTAGCACGACACTCTCTCCACGTCACCGGTGAGGCCAAAGGAACGACAAGATCGCTAGAGTTTAGGAGTGGTGTCGTCACAGGAACTGCCAGAACGGGTTGGGTACAATGGCGAACTGCCTTAGGGACTCCGTCTCCGGATTTTTCCTCGAGGTTTACTCCTGAAGCCTTTTCTATGGCTGTATATAGCCGCAAGGCAGCGGAGGTTTGAAATAAGGGTTTTCCTTCTCCTAGGTAAACTGCTTTTCCAGACTTTCGAGCTCCACCTACCCGATGCCGGATGTAGCTTATCGTCATACTCATAGCTGGGACCCTAACAGGTACTATCCCCCTGGAACAGGGTGAACCAGGAAACAACAGCAATTGAGGTGGTTCCACGCTCCTCAAAACCTACTAATTAGAGGTCTTGCTGTCGGATGTATTTTATCGTCTTACCGATGACCAATATATATATATATATATATATATATATATATATATATATATATATATATATATATATACAAGTATATAATTGGTATATGCGGAATGAATTCCAATAACCAACAATTACTATTCTTAAAAGAGTGCTCAATACAAAGTAGAGCAGATATAATTATTATTTATAAAAAAAAAAAATATAACATAAGTATGTTATAAAATCACTACAAAAATAGCCATTTTGTTTCAACACCCTCGGTGTCTTATCAAGTGATGATGTTGAAGATAAAATAAATTATTTCAAATTAATTAACGATCCTACACTAGGAATTAATTAGTAAGACTTGTATTACTAAATCATTATTATATCCCACAAAAGTTCTGACCATCTGAAAAAAATGTATTGTCTAGCTTTAAATACCCTGCAAAGGATTGATAAGCCGTAGGAATCGAATCAGTCAATCGCATTCCTAATGACATTTTATACAGGATTTTTATAGCAAAGCCTCGAATCACTAAAGTTCTTCAATCCTTCAATACTCGACCGTCCTACAACTTTTGATTTTTCCCAAAGCTAAAACTGAAAGGATAGAGATTTTCAAATTGTGGGCGCGATTAAGAAGAGCGTGACGTGGCAGGTGATGGCGCTCCCTAAAGTGAACTTTACAGGCTCTTTTGAAAAGTGAGAAGAACATGTGGGTAAATGCATGAAGTGCCAAGACAACGGCTTTGACGCCACTAGATTAGCTAGTCTACGTTTTTTAGTTCATATTAAATGTTTTCATCGTTTTTGAGCTGCGCTATAAATATCTCTAGCTTAACAAGGACGCTGACTTATTTCCTTTTAAAAGAAACTCAATACATGAATGTATATAAAAGTAAAATTAAACTGTGTCTTTTCTGTTTTACAGCTACGATAATTTTGATTTTTTATTTTGTTGAAATCTTCACAGTATGGTTGCAGTTATGGATAATATTTTTGTTCAGATTTACAAATTCTACATTTCGTTCAATTTCGCAAACCAATCGATAAATTTGAATAAGCTGATTTGTTTGGAAAATGCTTTGGCAAAAACTCGACTTCGTGGTTTAATAATTTCTTTAATTTAATTTTATAGGACTTCATAGTAAATAATATTTTTAAGAAAATTTATTTTTTTTCCTTTTTTAACAACAAAGAATAAATTCTTAGGATTTCTTACTCTTGAGCATGCATCATACAACTGACCATGCGTAAATATTTCTTTCTGGAGTCAAATTCCAATATTTTGAAATGTTTGGCCTTGTGATTTGTTTATAGTTCTCGTAACTGCAGGGCAAACTGGTAACTGGATTCTTATATATAAAAACTTAAAGAAACGATATTCAAAAAATAATATTGCATTTTTATTAAATAAGTATTTGTTACTTTAATCCTTAGATTGTTTTTTAAAATTGTGGGAGTATTTTTATGCTAAATAATAAACTTTTAATTTTTCAAAAAAATGAATGAAAATTTATTGCACTAAGCTACAAACCCTAGTAAAACCTACTGTACTTTGTACCCCCTTACCTGTTTGCACTTCTCCCCAAATTTTGGTTTCGATTGGTCAATGTATGGCTATTTTAGAGGGTGTGACAGTCGGACGGACGGACAATAGAAACTGTTCTTTCAATAGCAAAAATAACGAAGTTCATCTCAGAGTTTCAAGCAAAATCTCTCAAATGTCTTTATTTTTTTATTTTTTTATTTCTCGACATCATAATGTCTTTATTTATTTTTTATTCAATTATTTTTTATTCAGTTTTATTTTATTCAATTCTTTTTATATTCAATTCTTTAATTTTTTTTATTTTTTATTCAATTCTTTATTGATTTTTTGATTTTTTATTCAATTCTTCATTTTTTATTCTTTATTTTTTATTTTTTATTCAATTTTTTATTTTTATTTTTCCTTTTTCATTCAATTCTTTATTTCTTATTTTTTATTCATTAATTTATTTATCTTTTTTTTTTCTTTTTATTCAATTCTTTATTTTTTTTTTTATTCATTTCTTTATTTCCCTCCAGAAACTCGCCAGTTTTCTTCCTGGGAGCATGTGGAACGGAGTCAATCATCAACTCCGATTTGCTCATAACATTATAAGTGCAGTCAAATCTTTCCAGGTATGGGTTATCACCGACACTGCACATCCAGTCTGAAGTTAGAGCTGTCGTAAATCTTCTCCATATCAAAATAACACAATAGACGTATAATACTAGTTAATTGAAGTACTAACCGTAGAATACCAAAGCACTCTATAATCTAGATATACCCCAGAAATGAGAAAAGAAATCAAATAGCGACTTTCCAACGGGTTGAATCCGGGAGTGAATATCCTACCTTCCGTCTGAATTTCTGGGATGAGGAGGAATTATTCTTATTTACATGCGGACATTCATCATATCGATCCCGGACTGTCCTGCTATTTACCCATATGAGAAGAGGATTCATACTTTTCCCCAAGGGTATTATTAGCACATAAGTGAATGTAATAGATTCGACTGGAATTTCGAACAAGGCTCTCCGATCCCTCAATCCCAGCCGCTATCCATTACTCCACCGTGCCTCCCGATTTATGCGTATGTAAAAAACAACAGGTCCGCATTTACTTGCATTGGCATAAAATATTGAATTATGCTTAACTTTGTCTGACCCAAGGTTATAGTGCCAGGATTACCAGTGAGAATCGAAATCATTACACCGTGAACGAATCATAGACACTCTACTTGATATTGTCTAAGCATAACTTAATCTGGCACAAAGTGTTAACAATGAAATTCAAATTGACTATCAAGACACTATCACTATTATGAGACTAACATTCTAACGTTCACTCTACTGCAGGCATCTTACAAATTATATATATATATATATATATATATATATATATATATATATACAGGAAAAACAGCTGAATTTTGAAAACCTTTATTTTCTTATTGACTATTCGCGCTTTTACATGAGCAAATGACGCGAAACGTCAAGAAAATATAAATTTTCTACATCCAACTTTTTTTTTTCACACATTTCATCATTACATAATATCTTCTGATATTTCATATCAATCACTTATCATATATATATATATATATATATATATATATATATATATGTGTGTATATATATATATATATATATATATATATATATATATATATATATTCTAAAGTTCGTTTTACGCCTCTTCTTTTTACGAAAGAACGAAGTAAATTTTGATCGCTATCCGAAATAATGTAAAAACGAAAAGTCAATTACCAATAATTTACACGTGGAAAAAATTTTACCGTTCCCAGATCCTACAAAAATAATCTTCTTTATTGTCTACCTGCCTCAGACAAAGGCCGATGTTAGTCGTCTTAAAATATGCTTAACTGCTTAGAATCACTTTTTTTTTATCGGGCAGTTTATTTTTAAAGTGATTCA